AACGGTCATCATTATCACACCCGAGAAACTTAACACTGACAGAATGATATTATTTAATGAGTCACATTAATAAGGTCACATTTCCTTAAATATTCTGTATAGCTATTTTTATTCCAATCAGAGCGCCATTGCAGTAGTTGATGGCTCTGTCTCTTTAATTGCCTTTATTCTAGATAGTTCTTTTTTTCTGTTCATCTTTCAAAGCACCAGCATTTTTCAATTATTTTTTAGGGGCCAGGCTGGTGGTTTTGTATAATGTTCTGTAACTTGGATTAGACAGATTGCTTCCTCGTGAGCTTCGGGTTCACCATTTTGTTGTGAGGACTGCATAGGTTGTGTGTGCTTCCACTGTGTCACATCAGCTTGTCAGGCTGTCCCATTGTTCATCCTGAGTTGAATTGTTTGATCAAGGTGATGTCTACTAGATCTTTCCATTGTAAAGGCACTTTTGTCCCTTTGTAACTAGTAACCTGCAGGATGATATGTGAGACTGTGATAACCTCCTCCAACAGCCACGCCCTGCAGTGCCCTTTGGTGGTCCTTGTCTGAACCGGTGACTGGATTGGTGCTAGCACAGTTGTGATTCTCCTAATTGTGTCATTTGCTCTTGTGGTTAAGTGACATTTGCCTGTAAGATTTCCTCCCCTGCCCATTTTTGAGTATCACTCTGTGGTTTAGAAAGCTTTACTATCTTTTCTCTTTCTCTTTTTTTTTCTCAAATGACCCCAGGGTTGGGGAGGGAACCTCTCTGGACAGGTTTCTGTGTCCTTTTGACATGTCCCCATCAGTCACTGAGCACATCCTCAATTTTTGAGAAGTACTTCAGATTTATCTCGACCTCTTCTTCCTTTAGACCTGTAATCAGCCACTTCTTCACAATGCATATGTTCGTTTGTGATAGGGAGTGGTATTTAGAAACCAGGGTCATGGCGCCTGGGTGGTTCAGTCGGTCAAGTGTCTGCCATCAGCTCAGGTCATGATCTCAAGGTCCTGGGACTGAGTTCTGCGTGGGGCTCCTGGCTGAGGGAAGAGCCTGCTTCTCCCTCTGCCTGCTGTTCCCCCTGCTTGTGAGCTCCCTATCAAATAAATAAATAAAATCTTAAAAGGAAACCAGGGTCTAGATGTCAGGTTTCTTGTGAGAGGTCATTGCTTCTAGGCCTTTCCTAAGGATAAAACTAGAACATATATTAATGTTTTTAATACAATTGGAATGTCTCTATTTTTCAGAGGCTGTAGCAATACTGTATTGGTTGTAGTTTGTGTTGAAAACCTGGGGTCTGGTATCTGTAAGCAGTTTCAGAGACTAAAATTATGTCAGCTTTCTGCAGTCTTCCTTTTCCCCAAACCCCTGGAAAGTAAGAGTTTTCTATGCCAACAGTATGCAGAATTCATTGACTTTATGTATCTCTGAAAGATTGGCCCAGGGAAGTGAGCACAGAAACAAAAAAGCTGGATTCGTTGGTTTATTTTTATTTTTTTAAAGGTTTTTTTAATTAATTAATTAATTAATTAATTAATTAATTTATTTATTTTATTTATTCATGAGAGACAGAAAGAGGCAGAGACACAGGCAGAGGGAGAAACAGCTTCCCCGTTTCAATAGGTCCTTCAATAGGAGAGACCCTAGCTTAGGTTGTTTCTTGGTGAGTGCTTGCTTTACCCTTTACGTAACCTAAAAAGAATTGTTTTGTTTGAAGCCACAGTGTTCTCAGTTTTTTGGTATGTCATAGTGCTGGAATGTATAAAGCCAGGTTTGTTTGTTTTTTAATGTGTTACAATTTTTTATCTTTATTTTTTTAATGTATTACAATTTAAAAATCAGTTTAGATGGTTTTCAGTGTCTGTAGAACAAATTATAGCAAATTTTTTTTCTAGAACTGTTCATGTGCACAGTGCTTAATACAAATTTCAGGTCCTCCTTGAGACTTATCTGTGGTATTATACATCTGAGTGGTTTGATAAACTTCTTAAATGTTGTTTATTTAAAATGCATTGAGAGACAGATACTGTGTGATTTATCAAGATTATAGCAGTAATGGGATTCAGAATACATTTGAGGGGAAGAGGGGAGTAGATACATACGAAGAATATATTTTCAATTCCCAAAGTAAAAACATTAAAAAAATCAAATACACCTGGTGACCACGTAAATTTTGCCTCCCTTCCAGCCTGCCCTATGTGTGACTGTCGTTAATTTCCTGAAAAGGCGACCCTAGTCCCATGGTAGAGTTTCCTCCTTCTCCATCCCCTGTGGAGGAGGTCGGCTCCAGGACTGCCAGCACTGTACCCTCAGCGCATGGCCATGTGGTCACTGCTCAGTAGGGACATGCCATGTCACAGTGCCACTGCAGGCCACCATTCTCTCTTCCACCAGCTTTGGGTCCCTGTTCACACCCCGACATTCCTGTGAGGCCGTGCGCTCTGTTTCTCTTTCCTGGAAATCCCTCCCCTCCTTGCTGACTATAAACAGACCTTCCCATGCTTTGAGGCCCGGTGTAAATGCTTCCTCTTCCATGAAGTCTTCCCAAACCAACTCTTCAAAGCTGAGGGTGTTCTCTTTCTCCTCAAGCCTTTATGCACTTGCTTATTCTTAGGGTGTGCTTTTGCATTCCCCTGACTCCCTTTCCTGAACTGTCTGCTTCATTTCCCCCTCCCTGCCGTGTTACCTAGTGTGATATCTTGTATAGATGTGTAGATAGCCAGAGCACAGCCCACAGTTTTCAGAGTGGTATAACCCTGCAATGCTATGGAGGGGAGATGAGCTATGGACCAGAGAATCTACGATCACTTGGAGTGGGATTAGTGAAAACCAGGTGGAGGGATTAATAGGTTGCTCTGGTGCTTTAATGGGATCTTCAGTGCAGCCCTTGTGATCTGAGTATTCTGTTGAGACTTCAAGCCTGTTCACAGGGAACATCAGGAAACTTCTCCATAATAGGCAGTATTTTTTAGTATGGTGGTGCCCCAGAACTCCTGGCTCCTTGTTAGAGGTAAAATCAGAGCAATCTGTGTTGCTTTCAGATTTTCATTAATCTTTTTAACAGCATACATTTCTTCTTAAATCTGTGCTTAGTTGTGATTAAGATGGAAAGTCAGCCCCTTCCCCCCATTTTTAGGATTTGATGGAGGAGTGATGTCTGTCACTTTAATAGGAGCATCAGCTCCATGAACTGCTGAGCCCAGCCACAAGCTTCTTTTTTATGCTCTTTCTTATAGCGCAGGACTTGTCATTCTGGGTTCCATGGTTTCCTGCTCACACATTCCTGTGAGCTGCTGGGTGGCTTAGGTTTTAGTGTGAATTTAACAGGGTCTTTAGCGAAGTTGTCTTCACAGATCACCACACACTATACAGTGACTCAGTCAAGTGCCTGAGTGCATTTTCTAAAAGTTTGGATGAATTATATAGCAAGTGAAACTTTCTTTTTTTAATTGTTTTTTTTTATTTTGAGATAATTGAAGATTGACAATGTATTAATAATACATTATTCACAAGGAATCATATGGAGAGATGCCATGTGCTCTTTAACCATTTTCCCCCAGTGGTAGCATTTTGGGAAACTGTAGTACATATTTGGAACCAGGATACTGATGTTGATACAGTGAAGATACAGAACATTTCCCAAGTATCTTTCTTTACACTTACATCCCTGCCTTGTCTTTCCCCCCAGCAGCCACTGACCTATTCTGCATTTCTATAGTAGTGTCTTTTTTTTTTTTTTTTTTTTTTAAGATTTTATTCATTTAGGGCAGCCTGGGTGACTCAGCAGTTTAGTGCCACCTTCAGCCCAGGGCGTGATCCTGGAGACCCGGGATCAAGTCCCACGTCGGGCTCCCTGCATGGAGCCTGCTTCTCCCTCTGCCTGTGTCTCTGCCTCTCTCTCTGTCTCTCTCATGAATAAATAAATAAAATATTTTTTTAAAAAAGATTTTATTCATTTATTTGAGCGGAGGGGCAGTGGGGGGGGGAATGAGAGAGAGAGAGAGAAAGAAAGAAAATGAGAATGAATCTCAAGCAGACTCAGTGCTGAGCTTGGAGCCCAACAGAGGGCTCAATTCCATGACCCTGAGATGACCTGAATGGAAACCAAGAGCTGGATGCTCAACCAACAGCCACCCAGGTGCCCCTGTAGTGGTGTCATTTCAAGAATGTTACAAAAATGGTTAAGTCCTTGGTCCATTTTAAGTTAATTTGTGTATAAGGTGTGTGGCTCAGGTTGAGGTCCATTTTTTTCCCCTGTCATTGTGCAATTTCTCCAGTAATATTTGTTGGAAAAAATGGCTGTACATCTTCCATTGAATTACTTTTGCACTTTCTGTCAAAAATTAGTTGGGCATATTTGTTAGAGTCCATTTATGGCTCTCTACTCTGTCCTATTGATCTCTGTGTATCTCTCTCTGCCAGTACCAGTAGCCTGAATCACCACCATACCACATAGAGTAATTCTTCCCAATTTAGTCTTTTTCAAAAAGATTTTTTTTTGAAGATTGTATTTATTTATTCATGAGAGACCCAGAGAGAGAGGCAGAGACTCAGAGGGAGAAGCACGCTCCCTGCAGGGTGCCCGATGTGGGACTCGATCCCTGGACCGGGGTCATGCCCTGAGCCAAAGGCAGACACTCAACCACTGAGCCACCCAGGTGTCTCTTTTTCAAAATTGTTGTAGCTATTTTAGTTCTTCCACTTTTCCATACCAATTTTAAAGTAATCTTTTGTGTAGCTTAAAAAAAAAATAAGCATTGCTGGGATTTTGCAGGAATTATGTTAAACCTCTATATCCATATGGAGAGAGTTGACATCTTTACTGCATCGAGTCTTCCAATCCATGAGCATAGAATGTCTTTTTTCTTTCTTTTGAAAGCTTGCAACGTAAAGACAGAGATGGCTCTGATGTAACATGTTGACATATATTAAGAGATGCTTTCATTCCAGGGAGAATATCAAATGCAAACTGTCAGATTGCATCTTTGTTCAATTTCTTTATAAAATTTTTTTTTCGTAGGCCTATGAAAGGAGGTTTCCTACATGTCCTTTGATTCCAATGTTTGTGGACAGTGACACTGTGAATGAGTTCAAGAGTGAAGATGGGGCTATTCACGTTATAGAAAGGCGCTGTAAGCTGGACATAGATGCACCACGGCTGCTGAAAAAGGTACCTGCAGGGACATCTTAGAACCATCCCCAAACTAGACAAACTTACGTTCATAGCCTCTCTTGTACTTGTTAATAACAAGCCCTTTTTTCCTCTTTATTTCGTTTTTTAAAGATTGCAGGAGTTGATTATGTTTATTTTGTCCAGAAGAACTCATTGAATTCTCGGGAACGTACCTTGCACATTGAGGCCCATAATGAGACCTTTTCTAATCGCGTCATCATCAATGAGCACTGCTGCTACACTGTGAGTAACTGGCATTTGCGGGAGAGATGCAGGCGTGGGCCAGTGTGTGCTCCAGGGAGTTGCGCGGCCACCACTTTACGCAGTGCACTGCCTTGTCTCATATGGCAACTCTCCATCATATATTGTCACTCATTTCTTGTTGGTGGGATTAGCAGTGTGGCAGGTGTGGTTTACTGCAGAATGGATTACGTTGTCATAGCAGTTAAGGGAGCCTAGTGATGCTTTGATTTGTCGTTAAATGTTACCTTAATATGTCCCTTCCTCTCTGGTGCCACTCTAACACTTGAGAAGTATTTATGGAAGGACCCAAGATACCGTTTTCCTCCACCATCTGAAAGTAGAGCATTCCTCTGAACCCTTGGCATACACCGAAATGGGACAAAGCAAAGCAGCCAATTACCATGAATTTATGTGGAATTTTTTTAAATCATTTGTAGCCTCAAAAAAATAATCTCTTTAGGCTTTTCTGAGACCTTAGGACACATCTTGCTAACAGATGCACAAAATGAGATAAAGCTCAGATGCACAGACACAGTTCTAAACTCCGAAGTCCTGATGTTGAGATGCTGAGTGTGGCTCTGCCAGAGGGCGCTGGTGCTACTCTCAAGGCTTGGGGAGCTTACGAGCTGCCTCTGTAACGGCTTTTGCAAGCAAATAGTGAATGCTGTTTTCCCTTTTGCCCTTTTTCCTAAAAGCAGAAATCCTCTTTGGATTTCTTTTGGCTAGCAAAGCCAGGTACAAATATAGATCTTTTGTAAAAGCAAAGTTGTGGAATGCAGACTTTGGGAAGGGGTAATGCCTGTAATGTGTACCTCTAAGATCAGGCTGCTTATGTGCCACACCATCTTCAATAACTTCTGTTACCAGATTATTAGAAGAATCTAGTAGGGTCTCTCTGCTTCTCCTTTAGCTTCCTACGACCTGTCCTCAGCACTGAATCCAAAGTGGTCCTCTTAAAGGTATCAGATCATGTCCTACTTTCTACAGCACTACTGCATTTCACTCAGAGGAGGAGCCCAGAGGCCTTCCAGTGGTTTACAAGGCTCTGTGTTTTCTCTTAATCACACATCTGCTGTCCTGGCTTCCTCGTGCACAAGCCTGCACACCATCTTGCTTTTCCTGACTGGGTGCGGAGGCGCGCTTCCCCGAAGGACCTTCCTTCCAAGTGTGTCCTCTGCCGGGAACGCTGTGCCTCCGGATCTCTGCTTGACTCCCGCCCTCCCCTCCTCCAGTCTGTGCTCACATCTGCCCTTCTGGATGAAGCCAGCCTGAACACCCTATTTAATTCCGCTGCCCCCCACCCCCATCCCAGTCCTTTGAAGCTGCTCTATCTTTCCTTTTCCCGTGGCGCTTGTCTTTCAACAATGGCAGAATTTATACCGCTTATGTTGATGGCTAACTGCCATTCTCCCCCTGCAGACTGTAAGCTTCATAGGGCAGGGATCTTCGTTGCGTTTATGATAGAGAACACTGCTCAATAAATGCGGTAAACAAACGAATCAAGAATGAAAAAGAAGCTCTCCTTTTAACAGTCATTTTTAGAATTTTTTTTAGAGTATCTTAGAACTATTATTTAGGTCTTTTTATGATAATACCTCTCTGTATAATTTTTCCATCTGGTGCTTTCACGATAATAACATTGTTAGTAAAATAACATGTTTTCTTCGGTTACAAGTTGATTGAGGAGCAAACAAATGACCTTATCAGTTGTCAGCATAGTTAATGGGAATGATTTCTGATTTATCTGCAGGTTCACCCTGAAAATGAAGATTGGACCTGTTTTGAACAGTCTGCAAGTTTAGATATTAAATCTTTCTTTGGTTTTGAAAGTACAGTGGAAAAAATTGCAATGAAACAATATACCAGCAACATTAAAAAAGTGAGTCCAGCTTGGGATTTTTTTAAATTTTTTTTTTTAATTTTTATTTATTTATGATAGTCACACAGAGAGAGAGAGAGAGGCAGAGACACAGGCAGAGGGAGAAGCAGGCTCCATGCACCAGGAGCCCGACGTGGGATTCGATCCCGGGTCTCCAGGATCGGGCCCCGGGCCAAAGGCAGGCGCCAAACCGCTGTGCCACCCAGGGATCCCCCCAGCTTGGGATTTTATGGAGAAGGGGAGGCAGTAGCCTCTGAGATGCTCCGAGCTGGCACTGTTCTCAGAAAGCTGGAAATGGACTAGTCAGGGATACCAGCCATTTCAAGACAAGGAAATGCTTTGGTTTTTCCCCAAGCCTCATGTTCCAGGGAGTTGTAGGGGTGGATGGGTGTTCAGATGATGCTGGTGGCCAGTGGAGGTAAGGAGGAGCATGGAGCCACTGGCCTTGGTACTCTTTGCTGGGAGATTGGGGTGGGGTGGCTTAGGTGGGAACAGCCAGTTTATAGCACCCCCTGCTGCCACCTCAGGGTCTGTGGGCAGGAGGTACTTCATGAGGAGGCAATTGCTGGGGATCTCTTTGGGGTTCCCCAGGCCTTGGATTATTAAATTCACCTTCCATGGAAAAACTTTCCTTCTCATTTTTTAAAAAACGATTTATTATTTATTTGGGAGGTGGGGAGAGGAGAAGGGAGAGAGAGAGCATGTGTGAGTGTGTGGGGGACGTGCAGAAGGAGAAGGAGAGAAAATCTCAAGCAGACTCTCTGTTGAGTGTGGGGCCTGATGAGGGACTCGATCTCATGACCCTGAGATCATGACCTGAGCTGAAATCAAGAATGAGCTGCTCAAATGACAGAACTACCCAAGCACCCACCCCACTTTCCTTCTCGTTTTTATACTGCTGCTCAGTGTTGGTGTGGAATTTGGTTGTGAAATGTATCCATGTGGGATTTTTGAGTGCTTTTTGAAGGCTTGTTTTATTTTCAGGATGTTGGAAAGAATTTGGATTGAGACACAAAACACATATTAAGTACAAGTGTGATAAATTGGTGCTTTTAATTAGTCATAAAAATTTCTGTCTTTTTAGATATTTGCTAAATGTTTGGAGAAGAGGAAGTAAGATATGAAAAACAAAAAGACAAAGGCAATTCAGTTTTCTTTTTGTAGATTTATGCTATAGCAATTAAGTTTTTATTAGTGTTTTAAAACCTGTGAGTGATGAATAATTTGAATGTTGAATATATACTAACTTTAAAATTGGTTTTGTTTTAAAGGGAAAAGAAATAATTGAATACTACCTTCGTCAGTTGGAAGAAGAAGGCATAACATTCGTGCCCCGCTGGACTCCACCTTCCATTGCTCCCTCCTCAGAGACCTCCTCGTCATGCAAGAAACAAGCCGCGTCCTTGGCTGTTGTGGTTCCAGACACTGCCCAGGCAGAGGGGCTGGCCAGTGAGGCCCTTGGCACCCCCACCGGGCCGCCCGAGCCTGTGGCAGGGACCCCTGATGGTGGGTCGGAAAGTGACTCGTCTGTCCTGTGAGCCAGGCTGGGGCATTACATGGAGTCCTTTCTCCCCTGCCTCCTCTGCCCATTCTTGTTTCCTGAGGACATATAGAGATCATTTTGTTACGGTCTCTTTTCCTCTGCCTTATAGAACATATTTTATTTTTTTTATTTTTTTCTTAAAATGAAGAAACGTTTAATTATTTTAATGGGCAGCAAGGGTTACATCAAGTTATTCTATTCTTGAAACCAGGAAATGTGTTTCATTTATTTTAATTGAGACATCTTTAGTGAATGAAAGGTGGCAACTAACCCTCTTAACACAATTGAATCCCCATTACTTTATCCTCAGTATGTGCTAGGCCCTGTTGTAAGCACTTTATGAATATTTATTCACTTAACAGTGGTTCCTTTTAGGTACGAAGTGCTTATCACTCTCATTCTATATGTGAGTTAACTGGGGCCCAGAGGAACTGAGTTAACTTGCAGAGTCTCACAGCTGGCAAGTCGTGGTGCTGGGATTGAGCTGAGGCAATTGGCTCCAGGGTCTGCTTTTAGCTTGTGCTGTGCTGCCTTTCATGTGTGTTAAACACACACACACACACACCTCTTATTTCTCTGAGCGATGCCTGTTGTAAACCACACAAGAAAATTCTGTCACCCATAAGTTTTGTTAAAGTATTGCTACTTCTTCCATGCTTTCCTCTCTGTAGCTAAACTGTGCCATTTGTTAGCCATCCAGTAGATAGCAGGTGGCAGATATTTTAATTGGTTTGGGGACACATTTTATTTTTCCACCTTATGGATGTTGCTGTATTTATGGTACCTATCATGAAGACTTCTTGTGTTCTGGAGCACGGTAGCTCTCTTCAGAGTAGGTTTAAGTCCACATGCTTGTTTTATTTCCTAGTTTTATGTCACGTAGGTCCTCTTTATATAAGATTGAATTAAAATAGCCACTAAAATAGCTGTTACAGATTTTTTTCTACATGAATAGTGTTGAGATTTTGCAAATAGAGTTGACCACAGGGTGGTCAGCAAATATACTTGAATCAGTAGCTTGACCTGGGGTTTGCTCAGTGATATGATCTCACAAACTATCACTGAGGGAGGGTCTCGAGGGGGCTGGCTTAGCTCTGCCATCCCTGTGGTATTGTTGAGTTCTGCAACTCAGGGACCATACTTCACTTTACTGAGCGGGATGACTTTGGAAGCCCTCATGTTCTAGTGTTCTTTGTTGTAAATGTCGTCGTGTAACTTGTATTCCAGACAAACTAGATGCGGACTACATCAAGAGGTACCTGGGCGACTTGACCCCACTACAGGAGAGCTGCTTGATCCGGCTTCGCCAGTGGCTCCAGGAAACCCACAAGGGCAAAGTGAGGACCGGCACCCCGTGTGCAGTGGTGTTGTCTGTGGAACTCTGGAGCCTGGTCCCGTTCGTAGTTACTCAGAGTAAATGTCCCCAGTTGTCATAGCTGGGGACGTCCCTCCCAGTCCCAGAGTCACTGCATCTGTATTTGTGTGTGTAGCATCTGAGTCCCTCATGGCAAGTTGGGATGCCCTTCCACATACAATTAGCTGTGTTGTTCTAGGTTTACCAGAGGAGGGTCTCACTTAAAAACAGTTACATGCCAAATTACAAAGCAATATTATATTCCAAGTATTCAGACTTTTTTTCAGAGATTTGTTTATTTAGAAAGAGCAGGGGGAGGGGTAGAGAGAGAAAAAAAGAGAATATCCAGCATGCTCCCCGCTGAGTTTGGAGATGGATGTGTGGCTCCATCTCATGTGTCCAAGGTCATGACCTGAGCCAAAACCCAGAGTCAGATGCTCAACCGACCAAGCCACCTGGGCGACCCCAAGTATTCAGACATTTTAATTTTCAGAAGCTTTGGAAGGAGTTCATAGGTTATTGCAAGACCAGAAATGTTTGAACTTTCATTTTGAGGTTTTTGGTAGAACTTTAGCCTCGTTGAGGAATCAGGTTTTTCTAATAATCCTCATGCTAATGGGGGCTAGTAGTGCAGGCAGACTGGCACGTCCACTTGGTACTGGCATCATTTAGTAAAGGAAAGCTGGGATTGTATGGAGTCGGCCCACTCTCTGTTCTGTCCACCTGGGTCACTGGAGCCACATCCTGAGGACTGTTAAGTGTTGCTTGTCGGAGCACAACCATGGTAATGATGGTGGTCATTTGTTGGGCACTCACTGTGTCCTAGACACTTGCAATCTTTAAGAAGTCCTCCCAGGGACGTCAGGGTGGCTCAGCAGTACTGTGCCTATCTTTGGCCCAGGGCGTGATTCTGGAGTCCCGGGATCGAGTCCCACATCAGGCTCCCTGCATGGAGTCTGCTTCTCCCTCTGCCTGTGTCTCTGACTCTCTCTGTGTGTCTATCATGAATAAATAAATAAAATCTTTAAAAAAAAGAGAAGTCCTCCCAGCAGCTCTCTGAGGTGGTGATATTTTTATCCTGTGAGGAAACAGGCACAGAGCACAAGTAACTTGCCCGAGGCCTTCCAGCAAGCCAGGCCCTTTGGTTCCAGAACCACATTCTTCACGTTTGATGGTGGTCCTTTCGACCCCATCTCTGTGCCATGAGTTGCTCTCTCAGTGAGGGGTTAGTTGGCAGGCTACCCTCGTACCACCTTCCTGTCCCCTGTGGACCAGCTGCGTGCGTCAGTGATCTTGTGGCTGCAGAGGAAGATGGCCAGGCCGGATGACACACGGACGCAGTTTTGGGCATGTTTTTCACTCAGAGAAGTCAGCTTATCCAGTAACAGACTTTAGAGAAGGTGTGTGTTAGGAATGCCACCACCGCTGCCAAAATCAACAACATCTCTGTATTCTAAGTTTTGCACTAGTGTACTGTTAAGTGTGGAAAAGTGCACACGGGGATCCCTGGGTGGCTCAGCAGTTTAGCACCTGCTTTTGGCCCAGGGCGTGATCCTGGAGTCCCGAGATCAAGTTCCACTTCAGGCTCCATGGAGCCTGCTTCTCCCTCTGCCTGTGTCTCTGCCTCTCTCTCTGTGTCTCTCAAGAATAAATAAATAAAATCTTAAAAAAAAAAAAAGTGCACACAGATCATAATCGTAAATCAGTTCAGTGAATTGAAGTGTCTGATGTTTAACAGATTTATGCCTTCGCTCTACTTGGCTGAAACTAAAATGGGGTACTATAAAGATTATTCAGATTAATGATACCAATTTGCTAAAGCATTGAGGAAGGGTTTTTTTTAGTAATCGCTAATTTTAAATAGTGCAATAATGCAGCTCACTCTGGATGAGCAGTGACAGTTTTAGGAGTTTTATTCCCTTAGTAACTTGGTTTTTTTCCCTTAGCAACTCTTAACATTGCTTAGAAACCTTTTTTTCTCTTACTAGATCCCAAAAGATGAGCATATTCTTCGGTTTTTACGTGCCCGGGACTTCAATATAGACAAAGCCAGAGAGATCATGTGTCAGTCCTTGACTTGGCGAAAGCAACACCAGGTGGACTACATTCTTGACACCTGGAGCCCTCCCCAGGTCCTCCAGGACTACTATGCAGGAGGCTGGCACCATCATGATAAAGGTGAGCTGGGCATTGCGGACGTGCTTCCAGGCCTTGTTGCATGGAGTCTAAGGGGCCCGTGAAGGCATCGGGCACACACCCCACCCCCACCTGAACAAAGTGGCTCCCATTCATCATGGCCAACCCCACCCGGCCCTCCAACACTCAGGAGTCCCCGGTGTCCCCTATGGAGCAGCACGGGCTGTGTGCTCTTTCCCTCCGTGCATGGTCCCTTGGCTGCCAGGTTTCTTCACCTCCTTTCTTAGTCCGAGGACTTTGTTTTGATTGATTTAAAAAGCCTGCAACTTTGAGGGCAGTGTTTTCAGGAACACAGTGTTAGTAAAAGAACTTTTATAACTTAAACCCCTACAAGATCTGTAAAAATATGTAGCCAGGTTTTCTCCCTCACAACAGTGAAGAATTTCCGTTCCATTTTGGACAGGAAGCAACACAGAAGCCAAGGAAGCGATGGTCCTCAGACGAAGGGCGGTGTCGGGGAGCACAGTCCGCTTGGGTCACTTTACCTACCACGCTGGGTGGGAATGGTGGCGTTGCCAGAGGCACGCTCTGTTTCCCGATTCAGTGCCGGACGGTGGACAGAGCAGAATTGCAGAGGGCACAGGGAGGACCCTGGGACCCCTGCCCCTTCCAGGCAGACTCTTCCAGAACGGAACAGCTCTGACTTGTCTGTGTTCTGGACTGCATCTCTCGTACTCTTCCAGATTAATTGTAGCTCTGTCAGTTCTTACTATAAACATCTACTTATTCTACTTTCCCGCCCTTCAGAAGTAGTAAAACATTAACAAATGTATTTTGTAAATGTTGGGAGATGCTTTTTATAAATCTTCCTTTCAAAAAATCAATCAATTAATACTCCTTTCAACAAGATTTGGGAGTGCAAAGACAAGATATAGACCCAGATTCCCCTAGGAGGTGAAGGTCACCGGTGATGAATACAAGGGAACTTTCAGCCTCTTTATATCTCAGCCTCTGTATATCTCAAGATATACAGAACGAGCCCTCCATTAACAACAGGAGACAAGTCTTACTTGCTGTCCTTCCTGCTGCTCCTGTGGCACCGAATATTAGGAATCCAGATTCTAGAGGATCTGCTGACTGCAGGGGACACCGTGGCCCCCAAGATCATCTTCCCCTCTATGTAGCTGGCTTGTGATGACAGTGCATTATTTGTGTAGTGAGTGAGGTTTCTCTCAGTTTCCATCCATTGGACCTCCAGGCTATAAACATGTAGAGCCAACATGTGCTGGCTGGTACGGATTAAAACATTTCCTGAAAGCCCTCATGTAGCCCGATCGCTCCGGTGGGAATCACGGGAAGCTGCCTTTAAAAAAAAAATCTAGACATTAACTTTTTGATAACCCATGAAATGGGGGAAATTTTTTGTTTTCCCTAAAAAATAAAATTTTAAAATACTCCACATTCACAAAAAAAAGTCTGTAGGTCTTCTGAGGTCTCCCTGCTGTTGAGAGCCGGCTTTGCCCAAGGCCCTGATTGTCTCAGTGAGGAGGCTGAGCCTAGTGACGGCCCCGGTCACTCCTGGTGGTTAGGCCCAGATGAGAGGCTGGGTTCCGCTTCATGCTGCTCATCCTGGGCAGGGGGACGGCAGTCGGGGGAATCTCCTGTGCGCACACACAGCCAACTGCTGTTCTGACTGGGAAGGTTCCTAGAGTTGTACTGTCAGCTTCTCGTCAGGAATGGTGATCATACCTTTCCTTCCCCTCCTGCAGACGGGCGGCCACTGTACGTGCTCAGGCTGGGGCAGATGGATACCAAGGGCTTGGTGAGAGCCCTCGGGGAGGAGGCTCTGCTGCGATATGTAAGTGCCTTCTTGGGGAGGTCGCCACCCCTTCCTCTACCAGCAGGATTGCGGTCTTACGTTACAGCAAGCATGGAGTGCTTTTGTAATTAGGAAGGAAGATCTACTAATATATTTTTAAAATTCCAAAAGAGGGCGTGGAAGTTATAAAAATGTTTTCACAGGGAAGCATCAACAAAAATCTGTGTAGCCACTCAAGGTGACTTCGTGGGTCTGATTTTGAGTCCCCTTGTTCCATTGGATTGGCCCCTTCCCTCTCCTCTCCTTTTGAGCTCAGATCAGACCTATTCATAGTATTCTTTGCCCAGTATTTCCTTACGTGAGGGTTCTAACATCTCTTATCTGGGCAATTATAAATACTTCCTGCCTGCCTGCTGAACTCTAGGTTTCCCTCCCACTTCAGCCTCCACAGGCTAGTTATGAAGAGAAGAATGTTCTTAAATTAAAAACCAAACAAAAACTTTATTTAAAAAATTTTTTTTTAATTTTTAAGATTTTATTTATTCATAAGAGAGACAGAGGCAAAGACCTAGGCAGAGGGAGAAGCAGGTTTTTCACAGGGAGCCTGATGAGGGACTCAATCCCCGGATGTGGGATCACGACCTGAGCCAAAGGCAGGTTCTCAACTACTGTGCCACCCAGGCGTCCCCCAAATAAAAACTTATTTATTTTATTTTATTTTATTTTATTTTATTTTATTTTATTTTATTTATTTTAATTTTGATTTATTTATGATAGTCACACACAGAGAGAGAGAGAGAGGCAGAGACATAGGCAGAGGGAGAAGCAGGCTCCATGCACCGGGAGCCTGACGTGGGATTCAATCCCGGGTCTCCAGGATCGCGCCCTGGGCCAAAGGCAGGCGCTAAACCGCTGCGCCACCCAGGGATCCCATAAAAACTTTAAAAGAAACTCCTATAATCCCATTATCTTCAAATATCTGCCATTGGCATCTATATATTCTCTTGGCCCCTGCCATCATGTGAGTGCTTACACACGCAGAACCCCATGTACACCTGTAAGCACATAAAGATGTGGATGGACCGTGTCTCCAGGGGGAAGCACTTGTTAATCCAAATCAAAGGGTTCCCCTTAGCCGTACTTCAAGTCAGCTCTTAAACTGCCTTTTCTCGTGGATAGTACGTGTAGTATTAGAATGTTCCCCCATCGCAGCCAGTGACCTCCAGCTGTTCCAAATGTACTTCTTCTGAAGATAGGTCAGCAGGTCACGCCCTCTCTGCCCATCTGGTGGGGCCTAGCTCTGATCTCTCATGACGTAGCTGTCACCTTTGTCCTAAGGACAGAGCTCACTCTCTGGAGAGAAAGAGTCTTTGGGATATGTTTTGTGTGTATGAATGTGTCAGAAAATCTAAACAGATGATTCCTCTGGTTCAGACGCTTGCCTAAAATGGGTTGTATGATTGTCACTTTATTGCGTAACTTGACACAGTGGTGTTACTTAGACTAATCCTGGGCTTTTTATGGCTCTTTTGCACATAGGTTCTCTCCATAAACGAAGAAGGGCTGAGACGATGTGAAGAAAATACAAAAGTCTTCGGTCGACCTATCAGGTAGATGTTGATTTTGTTTTTCCTTCCAGTTTCTTGAGAACATGAGGTAAATATTTCCCATCGACTTTCAGGATCAAAATCTGGTTTGATTTTTAGGCTTTTAGATTTTTAGCTTCCCATTTTCTGTAGTGTTCCAGAAGGTAGAAGATAGATAACCATGTCAGTTGGTAGGGAGAGGTGCTGGATTTGGGTATTTCTAATCCTGAGCGAGTCATTGCTGTCACCTCACTCTGAGGGGGTCGGCCTGTGTGGTTAGTCTGTACCGTCCGGGGGAGCACAGGGCTGCAGGTTGATTTTGGTTTGTTTTAGTTGCAGGGGCACAAGAAAATTATCTTATATTTCTAAACCACACTTGGAGTTATGGTAAACTACTTGGAAAATGTGCAGTGGTTCAGAGGTTGACACATAGCAGGTTAACTAGAGCAGAAGTTCCACTGCGACAGGAGAGAGTTTCGAGGGTTTTCCGTTTCCTGCTGTTTCTCAGCTCCTGAGACACTGCTGGGTTCAGTAGGTATTTGTTGAAGAAAAGCTGCTTGCAGTTCAGTCACACTGTGCATTAAAAAGCCAGATTCTTGTCCTGTTGTGTCAGTAGAGGTGGCTCAGCATGTCAGGCACAGCATGTCACCTTGTTTGCTGGGTCATGAGCCTGTCTGAATGAGGTTGTTATTAATTGTCAGCCATTGAGGCTTTGATGTCTCAGGGATTGGTCCTACCACACTGATCCCGTGTGCTTCACATAAGTAGATAGAAATATAATTCATAACACTTTAATTTTTAGAAACTAGTATATTTTTGGAAATGGATATAAATGACTGTTTCATAATATCAGGGAGAAAATAGCTTAGGACATGGTTTGCAAGTGTGCTGTCTAGTGAGTAGCTCACACGTGTGCATCCCCTGCAGTTCATGGACCTGCCTGGTGGACCTGGAGGGGCTGAACATGCGCCACCTGTGGAGACCTGGCGTCAAGGCCCTGCTGCGCATCATAGAGGTGGTGGAGGCCAACTACCCAGAGACGCTCGGCCGCCTCCTTATTCTTCGTGCTCCCCGGGTGTTCCCTGTGCTCTGGACGCTGGTAGGTTGGATGCTGTTTTGTAGAAACAATTAGCCATTTAGAAGGCAGGTACACATGCATTCATATCCACGAGTCTATGACGAGTCTGTGACTGTTCGTCTTAACTAGTCAGGAAGTAACAACCCTGGAACGATACACACTTTTTCAGGTCCTTCAAGGGCAGAAAGAATTCCCAAGATTCCTTTTGTCACACAAATAGACTTCACGGAAAAAGGGAATCAGACTCCCTGCCCCTGCCCCCACCCACTCTTACCATCACATTGTAATTTTAATCTTTGGAAATCAGACAGCAAAGCAAAATGACTCTGTGGTCTTTTCTCATTACTTACAGGTTAGTCCATTCATTGATGACAACACCAGAAGGAAATTCCTGATTTATGCAGGAAATGACTACCAGGGCCCTGGAGGCCTGCTGGACTACATTGATAAAGAGATCATTCCAGATTTCCTGAGTGGGGAGTGCATGGTATGTATTTAGGCAAGCAGCTATACATTTGGCTGCTTTATAGGGTCGGAGAGGAGGGTGATGGTTGGTACAAATGATTTTCAGAACTTTTAGTTTGGATTTTTGTTTTTCTTTATTTGGCTGACATTTCTCTGACCCAGAGTTAAGCTACAAAGAGCCAGTTAGGTAAATTGTTGACAATGTGCATATTTCTTCGATGTCAAATACTAATGAGAATTTGTTTTAGAACCTGATAGGATTGCAGCTTGCTTTATTCACTCAGTGTTGTGCGGATCACGTTCTTGTAACTGGAGGAGCTGTGCATTTTATGAAAACACTTAAAAGACTCAAAATGATTCTGCAAGATCTCCCCCTTGACAATAAATAAGGATAACATCTTGAAAGGGACGCATTAAGGGAATTACTTCCCTTCTATAATCTGGGGTTTGTATCCATGGCGTTGCTAGGTTATTAGGCAGCCACCTCCACGTCAGGGCCCTGAGCTGTGATGAAGGGTCCTTGAGGACCTTACGGGCCCCGGGACGTGATGGGCTGACATGAGGGTGAAGGAGACAGACACTGCTAGCGGCCCAGCTGGCTTCCTGTAGTGACAGCTGAATGCAGAGAGAGGAGTCTGGTTCTCCTTAGAGGACTTCTGTCATCCTCGTAATAAAGTCCTTTGAGATGTGTCCACACTGGATTCAATGTATGTATTTAGCTAACGGACTGGGCTTTCGGGTCTCTTGGGTTGGTTAGAGGACTTTGAATGGCATTTGGATTCAGCTTCCAGAGCCTTGATCCTGCTGTTGCAGGCGTCATCATGACGCAGAGCGAGGGTCATGGGACCCTCCCTTACCGAAGGCCACGAGGTTAAACTGTGAAGTCAGCTGTGCAGCGACTCACAAACTCATGTTACAAATGGTCCCAAGTGGTTGGTCCTCCCAGTAGTGAGCTGGAGCAGAGGGAGACCTGAGTTGTGGCAAACCAGACCGCGTTTATCAGGCACTGACCCCCATTATGTGCTCCCCGTGGTGAGAGTCCTCCTCACTTGTCCACACGGGTCCAGGCTCCGGTGCTGAGGCTCCTCCCCGCCCTCCTTGCTCCTGTGTTCATGCACCGTGTGAGTGTGGGGTCTTCTAGTGGGACGTCGTGCTGCACTGCTAGCTGGAGACTGTGGTAGTGCATGTGTGCTCTGTCCACCGTCTCCCAGAGCCCACGGTGCACAGGGTGCTGGGATTCTATGGACTTCAGGATTGAGTCACTAGGTCAGGGTCAATTCAGAAATTTATGAAGTGTACAGATTCTAATTCGACCTAGCCCATTTCATGATTCAGAAGAGGCTCTCCGTTGTTATTTTTTGTCTGGTGTAGTGGACTGACCTTCTGACTCGGCGTAGACACGAAGCTTTCTTTGTTGGTTATATATAGATTAACTGTAATTGCTTACAATAAACGCGTGCCTGTAGTCGCCTGAGAATCCGACTTTTCCTAACATGTTTTCTCTCTACAGCACAGTGTAACTGCTTGTGGTTTTTCCACGAAGCAGCAGTAGTGAGGGAGTCCAGTACCTCATACCTCATACGTAGTAGTGTAAAATCTGTGGGAAATCAGCTTTGTCATTTAGTTAAAGAAAGACATGGATATTTCAGAAGTTTTAAAACTGTACATTGCCAAGTCGTGCAGAAGCTGTGACGACATTGCCAGTGGGTGCCATTCCCCGAGTGGCCGGGGGCGCGGTGCCTGCGGGGTGTTGGTTTCCAGAGGGCCCCTCTTGTGTGCATGGCTTTCACTGCCGTGTTTGTGTTCCCAGTGTGAAGTGCCCGAGGGCGGGCTGGTGCCCAAGTCTCTGTACAGGACTGCGGAGGAGCTGGAGAACGAAGACCTCAGGCTCTGGACCGAGACCATCTACCAGTCGGCCAGCGTCTTCAAAGGAGCCCCGCACGAGGTGCGCCTGTGCCATCTGCACTCAGGGCCCGGCGGGGTGGGGGGTGGGGGCCCTCCTCCCCACGGTCGTTCTTCAGCGGGGCTCCCCAGTAGGATTTACGTTAGAAGAATCAAATGCTTTTTCTGGTCTCTGTATTTAGATTTTTGTTGATTTTTTTTTTTTTTTTTTTTTTTAATCTTTAGTTGAGGTAAAATTCTGCATTGAAGGAGATAAGGCCTCCTGCCCTGGGCTTTACCAGAGAGCCCTGAGCACAGGGATGAGTGGCATGTGGAAGGTCTTTCCTGTGGAAGAGTGTTGACTTTATTTTTTTTTTAATTTTTTTTTTTAAGATTTTTATTCATTTATTCATGAGAGACATAGAGAGAGAGACAGAGACACAGGCAGAGGGAGAAGCAGGCTCCATGCAGGGAGCCCGACGTGGGACTCGATCCTGGATCTCCAGGATCCTGCTCCGGACTGAAGGCAGCGCTAAACCGCTGAGCCACTGGGGCTGCCCGAGTGTTGACTTTAAATTTAGTTTATTTAATGATCATATAGGGCTGGGTTCATTTTCTGGTTTTTTTCATGACTGGGCTTTGATTATATTTTTAAGGAATTTGCCCATTTTTGTAAGTCAAATGGAGTGAGGAAAAAGCACATCTCTGTTTTCCCTTCTTTCTGTCACAATTGGTGTGGAGGCTAGAGTATTCCTGTGTTTCGCAAACGCTGTGTGTCCTGTGACATCATGAGTGGTCTGAGCTGTGAGGGCTCACAGCCATGTCTCCCTTCCTGAGCTCTGGGCAGCTTGTTTGTGCCTCGGGCTGTCGCCGAGGGTGGTGGTGGCACTGGGCTCTGAGCCAGTGTTCAATGCACTAGGGGCTGGGGGCTCAGGCCGATGGTGGTGGCTGGAGCCCACCCCTTACTGCCATCGCCTTTGTCCTTACTGGTGTGTGTCCCCCCATGGCCAGTCCGTCGCTTGTGGGGCAGGTGGGTACTGTTGCTGGGTTTGAACAAGTAGAGATGGATTTGCTTTGCCTCATTCATAGATTCTGTAGGGGAAAGCTCAGATTTTCATGACTGTGTCTTGGGGATTATTTGTATGAATTCCTTTCTTGGAGACCAGGCTTGAGGAGATGCAGTTCTTATTTCTCTCAGGTAACTCGCTCTTGTCTGGTAGAGAACCGCATGGTGTATGACGTTTTTCGTGAGTCACAGGGTGTTTATGAAAGTTTTCTACGTCAGAACACTAAAACTTGCTTTGGGGGCTAAGTAAAACACAAATCAAGGACATGATGCCCCTGAAACGAAGGCTGAAGTCGGCGTCCCTGTTGTGAGTGCAGGAAGCAGGGTGCCTGTCACGCAGCACAGGGGGCTGCATCTGGGGACAGCTCAGCCCCTGGGGAGCCATTTTGCTGCGGGATAGTTGCTGTTCCCAGACAGGACTCTTGTGCTCCGTGGAATCTGCTCTTTAGGGAAATTCCAGAGTGGTATTTCTGTGGTGAGAAGCAGCAGTGGTAGAATTGAAACGAGTCTGCCTGACGACAAGCAGAGTGCTGAAGAGCAAACAGATGGGTCTTACGAGAAGAGGGGGGCACCGGCCCTGGCTTCGGCTGAAATTTCTGAGCGAATACACAGCCTTTCACAGCTGGTTTCAATTCTCACATCCCTCCCACAGTAATGTTTTAAACTATATGACTTTGATCATTCCCTGCTGGGAAACTTTATATGGGCGCCGTTAGGAAGTTTGGGTTTGAGGTTGGCACTCAGTCCCCGGGGCCCCTGCCCTGCCCAGCCCCTGGTTCTTTTCTCCCCACCCTGTGTTGGCTGCCACCGTTCTTGTGAGTCTATGTCCCCTCCCTTGCCTGGAACGCTTCCTTCCATTCCTCCATATGCTCTTTATTTAGCTCACACCTTCTCTGGGACCTTCCTTGTGCTTGCCAGCCTAGAGTGATCCACAGAACCACTTCTATACCTTGAGTCACTTCTGTTCTGTGTTGTTAACGCATTTTTACAGCCAGTACCCAGTGTGCCAGAATGCTGAGGATGGTGCGGTGGGGAATCTCGGCTGTAGGTATAGCTAAGGGAGAGCACGGAGCTTGGCACGTGACACAGAGCAGGAGCCATTGGTTGGGAGGAGGGAAGACAGGAAAAGCTGGGCGGCTGAACAGTGGATGCAGGTCAAGAGACGGCTGACGTGACATGTCTCCCTCCCTCCAAAACACACATGACTGGGCCCAGAAGCTCTTCCAGGGACGAAGCTGCCACAGTGTTGGCACAGGGATGGGGTACTCATGCTTACCATGATTGCTTAGTGTAATCTCTTTTTCCAGATCCTCATTCAGATTGTGGATGCCTCTTCAGTGATCACTTGGGATTTTGACGTGTGCAAAGGGGACATCGTCTTCAACATCTACCACTCCAAGAGGTCGCCCCAGCCTCCCAAAAAGGACTCATTGGGGGCACACAGCATTACTTCCCCGGGAGGGAACAACGTGCAGCTTATAGACAGAGTGTGGCAGCTGGGCCGTGACTATAGCATGGTGGAGTCACCTCTGATCTGCAAAGAAGGAGAAAGCGTGCAGGTAGAGCCATCTCTGATCCTCTACAGCTTGGGTATTTTGTCTTCAAAAGGAAGGGTCCTTTGCTTCATTGCTGTCCTGTGTGGCTGGCACTGTCTGTCTGCAGGAGAGTCGGCGGGTGTGTGCAGTTTTAGTTACTGTCAGAAGGACCCGGGGAGCCGAGTGAGACTCCGAAGGCAAGGAACTCAGACCTGAGCAGTGGTTTTGGACTGAATCCATGACTTTTATCTAAGTGCATGAGTTTTCATCAGAAGTTAGCTTCACAAAAGCGACGTGGAAGGAAGGGGAAGGCATTCTGTGTGCGTGACCAGCTGGGATCCAGACTTCCACGGAGATGACAGTCACCCTCAATAGCAGGGAGATGAGCAAGTGTGCTGAGGAAACCGTTGACTCTCATCACAGAGTGTTCTCATTCATTTACAAATGCTCTGTTGGTTCAGTTTTTAAAAATCTGGCCAGCTACTTTGAGTGCTTGTTCCCAGAACAGAAGTTCTTAGGTGCTTCTGGCTGGCATCATAGATGTATGGTTTTGCTGCCTTTACAGTTTTCAGGGATAAGCCTGTCAGTGTTCGGTGATCCGAGAAACAGAATAAAAGAGAGTATTTAATTCAATTTTATAAATAACGGATAGTGTAAGCTCCAGAATTAATGGAGAAAGTAATTTTCATAGGTTGACATTCTCCTTTAGATTGTCAGGCTTTTAACCAGAGTACTCTAGTAAGATTATTGGGAGCGTGTCCAAGAGAGTGCCACCTGGTCAGAGGATCTGTTTTGACCCCCTAAGGCTGAATGAAGGGCCCCCAAGCTCTTCCCACCCCACCAGGCACCTGCTTCTCTTGTGGCCTCCTCCTGAGGCTGCAAGTCCTAGGGACGGGCAGAGGGGGAGAGCCCCTCCCCAAGGCCTGCCCAGCCCCTGGGTGAGGCCTTGCTCCAGGGCCGGCAGGCAGGCAGAGCCCGCGTGGGACTGGCTCTGGTAGCGAGTAGTAGGTCCTCCACGCACTGGAATGGTCGGTTGGCTGTCACCACCCAATCCGAATGGGCTCGGGGAAGGTTGCCGGTGCATCCTCCTGGGCCAGTGGAGGGTAGGGACTTGGAAGTCAGTTCTCAGCTGGCACTGCCTGACTCATTCTAGGGCTCACATGTGACGAGATGGCCGGGCTTCTACATCCTGCAGTGGAGATTCCACAGCATGCCCGCGTGCGCCGCCACCAACCTGCCCCGGGTGGACGATGTGCTGGCCTCCCTGCAAGTGTCGTCTCACAAGTGCAAAGTGATGTACTACACTGAAGTGATCGGCTCCGAGGATTTCCGGTACGGCTCCCCTCCCACTGGGGCCATCACAGCACCACTGCTGTGGGCTTGGGTATGGGTGGGGGTGGCCTCTGGGCCGTTCGTTGCTGCCAGCTGTCATCATGGGCCAGGGCCGTAGTGGACCGCAGTTCTGGGAGAGCCTGCTCTGTGAGTGCCAGGTGGGCCGAGTGGGCAACAGGGAGCAGGGGCTGCCAGGAATTCTGGCGGGTGATGTGGGCTGGGGGGTGGCCCGCAGTGGGGTCCCCACACCTCACCTCCTCGCTCCCTGTGCTGTCCGCAGAGGCTCTATGACCAGCCTGGAGTCCAGCCACAGCGGGTTCTCCCAGCTGAGCGCCGCCACCACCTCCTCCAGCCAGTCTCAGGCCAGCTCTATGATCTCCAGGTAGTGCTGCGGCGCCCGTGCCTGGGCCGTGGAGGGGACGGCGCGCCTCCTCGGACAGCCCGCCGCGCTCCACCACCCGCTCGGCGGCCACACTGTGCAGACTCCTCACCTTCTAGGTAGCAGATAGCTCTCTAGACGGCAGACGTAGTCCTTGATCCCAGACTATCTCAGCAGGTAGTTTTAACTCCAACTCCATAGCCATAGATTTTGTATACAGTGTGCACAAAATCAAACCAGAGCACAAGGGCTCTCTTGAAAGAAAAGTAGTTTATATACAATCAAGAGGTTGACTTTGTCTCAAATGTTGATGCAAAAAATGTTTCCAGCAACCTCCACACCCTGTCCATTAGCGGATGAATTCCTACATCATCCTTCAGAGGTGACCCAGCCTTCCTACACGGAGCAGGAACTGCCAGCTCGTCCCCACACCACGTCACAGTGTCACCCTCTGCTGGTAGCCGGCACAGCCCATGGATTGAGGGGCTGCCTGCTAGGCATGTGTCCTCTGAGCAGCGCTGCTTCTGTGGGGAGGACTCGTAGGCAGCCTGCGGCACCCGGCTCGGGCCCTGCTGGCAGGTGTACCGGGTGTTCTGCAGTGGGTGTGGGTGGGCCCGGGGGCTCTCGAGGATCCCCCACAGCGCCAGGAGAGTACCGCCACCATTAAACAGCTTCTCTTTCCTCCTTTCCATATCTTTTTGATACTTCCAGAGCAGGATTTTTCTGTATGTGAACTCGCGCGGAAAGGATTCTTTCCCTTTTTCTTCTAGTATGTTCTTACCTGCACATGCTAGCTCTAAACTCAATGTAGACTTATATTCCCGGTGCCTCCTCATAGCTTGATAGCATCAGAACCCACGTGGTCCTTGAGGTCACTAGAAGGTTCTTTTGAAGACTCAGTCACACTTGCCATTTTGAAATTGTCCAGTGTTCATTTGAGCTGACCAGTGTTCTTGCCGTGTGGTCACTCCAGGAGAGCATGAGGCTTACGGGAGTCCCGTTCCTTCATAGAAGGAAATTGCAGATTGTCGGGGTGTGTTTGCCTGTGCAGGCATGTGGGGTGGCTGTGGCGGTGGATGTGAGTGCATGTGTATGTCGCAGTGTGTGAGTGTGGCAGTGTGTGAGTGTGGCAGTGGGGGCAAATGGGAGTGTGTGTGTGTGTGTGTGTGTGGCAGTACATAGGGCACACACGTGAGTGGCAGTGGGGGCACATGCAGGTGAGTGAGGCACTGCGGGGGTTGTGGGGTGTTGGTGAGAAACAGGGCAAATAGAAAGTGAGATGAAGTTGTCAGAGATTCTTCTTAGAAGCAAATCAGAATATGAGCTTGGTTTGCCTTTTGTCTTTTGTTTTTGATTCCCAATTACAAAGCATGGCATTCTTGGTTGGATTGGCTCGTGTTTTTTCTGCTTTTTATGGGAAAAGCAAGTTATTTGCAGATCTGTCTGGATGTTGCATTGGGTTCGCGTTTGTGATAAGGGTGTGATGTGTGGTGTCGTGTGTTGGAAGAGGCTGTGTTTTTACAAATATGTGCCAAAACCCACGTGGCTGTTACTGGCATGTGAGAGAGGCACGGAAGCCCGGGGCTGCGTGGCTTCCCATCTGCTCTCCAGGCCGGAGGTGGGTGGCCGCCGAGTGGACAATGTGTGGAGGACAATGTGTGGACAATGTGCGCAGGCGAGCCCTGGAGGGCTCGGGAGGAACGCCCGCCCGGTCCGTGAGGCCCCCAGGCTGCCTGCACACCGGAGACGGGGCCGCTCCGTGCTTGCCGCCTTCCTGGGGCACAGCCCCGTGTCTCCTTTGAAAAGAAACACTCACCACTGGCCCCTAAAGCCTTGTTTCCAGAAAGCTCAGTAGGGTTGGTTAGTGCATCTGGGCTGCTTCCGATCAGTGCTTCCTGCTTCTAAATTATAAGGACCTGAAGATGGTCCCTTTCTTCTCTTTCTTCTCTCTTTCTCTGTGTCTCAGATGGCGATTTTGCTGACAGCTGCCAAGAAAACGCTTCCCTCCACAGTCCACCTCAGCCCAGGGTGTTTGTAGAACTCTTTGAGTTGCAGCCACTCCCCCCTCCCCCAGTCTGAAGACGTGTTCGTTTTCAGTTGCCTCAGAAGTGGCACTGTCTTGTTCCCAGAGAGTCGAACGTGTCTCTGAGTTCAAAGCACATCACTGCGCAGACGCCGGCAGGGTTCCTCCTGAGTGACACGGCGCCTGGTTCTCTGGTTCTCCTTGAGGGGCCGCGGGCACGCGGACCTGGACTCTGCCCCTCCTGTCCATGCCCTGACTTCTCACACTCCGCCTTTCTTCTGCACTAAGGGTTCTTTTGGTCTCCCCTCTATTACTAGTGTCTTAACTCACTTTTCTTCCTAAATTCATTATTTGCATATCAAATTCTGTAAATGTTTTGTAAACATATTACCTCACTCTTGGTAATACAATACTGATAGTCTTTAAAAGATTTTTTTACTGTTACCAATAATAAATGTGAACTGTTTAAAAAAGAGAACGTCTCTTTCTTCCTGTGAAATGTGGAGCAGCAGCCTCCCTTGGAGAGTTTGACATCCTTAGGAGATTTTAGAAGTTGGAGCTAGACACATCTGGAGCCCGAGCGCTGGGATTCTAGAAGTTTGGGAACCACTGTGCAGGAACGGGCTGTCCTGCAGACGCATCGCAGCTGCAAGCGGCTGACATGCAGCGGAGACCCGGTGCCCACAGGTTCCCTCGCAGTCACAAGAAGACCTGCTCACGTGCCTTGGACTCTGAGGTCAGACACGGCTTGTGGCATTGGTGCCTGAGGCACTGTTTCTTCAGTAACAAAACAGATCCTTGAATCCTGTGGCTTCAGAAAAAAGAAGAGGGCAGGTGTAGACCTCAGGAACTTGGGCCGCCTTGTCCCCGGCTGTTTGCCATTTGGTGCGCCGGGGTGCTAGGGCCCGAGCAGGCCAGAACACTCACCGCCTCGCCTGCTTGCTGCCTTAGTTGGTACCTGTGGGTCATTTGCTTTTCTAGGCAGGGTCTGGGGGAGCTGGCAGGGGGTACTGACCGGATGTGGGGTGGGGAGCAGGGGCATGAATGTCCGCAAGCCCGTAGCTCAGTCTGGGTTTCTAGTTTGTCAGCAGTCGAGAGAGGTAATGTGCTCCTTTCCCTGCTCGGCGGCCCCCGAGTGCCTCACTGATGCCTCAGTCAGCCGCTGCGGGAGGGCAGGGCTTCCAGCAGTTCCTTCCGTGCCCCGAGCTCTCTCCCTGCCCTCAAGTCAGGCCTGCTTTTACCGAGCCTTTGGTTTAGCATCGGATTCTCATGGTGACGGCATGAGAAACAGGTGAGCACCCGTACCTGCTGCTGTCTCTGGGCTGTCTCAGAGCGTGGTGACAAAGTGGGACGTCCTGATCTGTTGGGCCGCCAAGCCTCCAATATGCATTTCTCCTGAAACACGTCACTGCATGTAATACTGGCGCCTCTCAGTTCTCCGGTCATGGCAGAGGTGTCCTCAGTAAAATGTCATGACAAACCAATGAAACCTTTTCATTGGAAAGTCAGGGCTTTGGAAAGCAGGGGTTCTGGGAGCAGGGTAGTGGGCATCCCGTGTAAAAGCAGCAGCTAGACCAAAAAACCTGGGACCTGTGGACATCTGAATTGTGTGCTTATTAAATAAGGTTAAAATGGCAACACTTGCTGTTTTCTACCACAATGAAAAAACCCCTATGGAGATCGTTCACAGGAAAACAAGATATCTGCACAAACCCTGAATAGAGGCACAAACCAGGAGCCTCAGCAGGCCGGGGAGGACTCTGCGTCCACCTGCCAGCACACACCTGACGGGCTGTCTGCTAGGAAGGCTCCCACACCCAGGAGGGGATGAGAACGGAGCAGGACGGGGCCTCAGGAGGGAAAGAGGAGGCTGAAGCAGGACAGGAGCCAGGAAAGCTCTGGAAGCCGAGGGACGCAGGTTTTAAACTTCCCACAGACAGCAGAAGAGGGAGCAAGCCCTGTAGAATTAGAAATTCTAAGTTTAGGACATACTGTCACATGAAAATAAGGATCAGAAAAGCATCAAAGTCAAGCCCGTACAAAGCTGTGAGAGGAGAGCATCCTACAGACAAGGGAAGGGAGCCAGAACGATGCGCCTACAAAACAGGCAAACGCTCGCGGCTTCGCTTTTTAGTTGAAGAACAGTTAACACACAGTGTTGTTTTAGTTCCGGGAGCGCGGCGCACGGATTCCTTGGTTCTGTACGTGGCTCCGTGCTCACCGGTGTGGCCACCGCCTGTCCCGGTACCGCGTCATCACGGTATCTGCGGCTGTTCCCTGTGCTGGGCCTGTCGTCTCTGTGACGGACGTCGGGACTGGAGGTTGGTGCCCTGTCACCCTCGTCCCTCTGGCAGCCGCCACTTTGTGTCCTGTGTGTAAGAGCCTGGGTTTAGGTGGTTATTGTTTTTTAATGAACAAAAAGACATTAGGAGGATAGACCTGACAGGAAAGAATGCATTAGAAAAGTCCAGAAACAGTGACAAGAATTAGAAATGAATGAAATCACTTCCGAAATTAAGACTACGGGGGCGCCGGCGTGGCCCAGTCGGTGAAGCGTCTGCCTTCGGCTCAGGTCATGACCCTGGGATCCTGGGATCGAGCCCCACGTCAGGCCCCCTGCTCAGCGGGGAGCCTGCCCCTCCTGCCCTTCTCGTGCTCTCTTGCTATGTCTCTCTCGCTCTCAAATAAAATCTTTAAAAAAATTAAGACAGAATTAGAAGGACACAAAGTGGAAAATACAACTGATAAGGCTCTAAGAGAAAAGCATAAAGGGAAAATCGTACAAATCAGAAAGGACAAAGGTAAAGAGACCTAGAAGGGGACATGTCTCGAAGGTGAGCGAAGCAGCCGAAGCGTGAGGGTGACACACAAGCGTGGGACGGGCAAGCCCAGCGCCGAGAGGTACTTTGGGGAGCCTCCGGTGTCTGGGGGGCCGCGGGGGTGGTGTGTGGGACTGTCAGGCTTTCCAAAGGCTGAGCTTTGTGTGGAAAGAAAGGGAATAATTGAGATTTTTAAGGAAAGAAAGGAATTTATACCCAGCAACACGGTGTGCAGGTGTCTGCGCAGCAAGTTGGCGTCGGGTGGCTGCTCGCTCTCCCGCCGAGCTCGGGGCCCCAGGGTGGAGGGGGACACGGAGGCGGGCGGGGGGCTTAGGGCTGTGTGGCCTGTGGGCCTTGGCCGGCGGGCCGCAGACGGGGAGAGCGCGCTGCGTGCGTCCTGGCTGCCGCCCTGTGTCTGTGACGGACAACTTTGGGGCAGGAAACAGGAACAGCACACGCAAAAGGTTCTGTTTTTAGTAATCACGTTAGTGGTGGTATCAGCGTGGTTAATCTGAGAGTCTCCGTCGTGATGCGGATGTGTCTGTGTGTCTGCCTGGAAACAGTGACCCCCCCCGCCCCCCGTGGCCAGGACATGCCGTTCGGTCAGGAGAGGCGCGGGGCGTCGGCAGCTCTAGGGCTCTGAGTCCTCGGGGGACTCGTGCGCTTTCCTGGATCTGTGTTTTATTTTAGAATCCAGAGGTTTGCGGGCAGAGGTGTTTTCAGCTAGGGCTTAGGCAGGTAATTTGCCTCGGAGAGGAACACCGGCTCTCTCCCTGGGACCCAGGCTTCCTGTCCTTCGTCCTCATCACCAATTCAGGGGTTGCAGCTGCTGCAACCTGTAGCTCCTGTCCGCCCCGTGCTGCTTGTGGCCGCGAGCGGGACAGCAAAGCCGGAGAGCGCGCCAGCGGCGGGCACAGCAAGGAACTCCGAGGCCGGTCCCGGGGGCTGTGCCCCTGCATGTGCTGCCCGCCACCCATCCTGCCCCGGGACCGGATCCGCTCTGACCTTGTCTTTGGGGTGAGAATGGGTCCCCAGGACCCGTGCTGACACCCTCTGAGAAACAACCCTGAGCCCTCGGATATTCAAATCCCAACGGCTCGGGTGCATGTGACACCAAGGAGAGACCAGGGTGCTGCCTGCTGTCTCTGGGCTATTCCTGCGAACCAGCGAGGGGCGACAGGCCCGGCGGCAGATAGGAGGACGCTCCCAGCTCCGTCTGTAGAGCAGCGTAGGTCTCCGTGGGCTTGACCCAGTCTGCACCCCTGATCTGTCAGCCCTGGTGCTCCAGCCCCAGTGAAACCCAAGCTCAGCCCCCAGGGGAGCCTCTGTCCGGCCCCCTGCTGCTGACAGTGGTCACCGCCCTGGCCAGGGAATGTCCTCCCCCGATGCCACCTTGTGGCCACATTGCAGACACGCATCCCCCGTCCCCCACTGGGGCGGTGATGACGATGACATCCTTTCTCCAGCTCTACCCTGCAAGTCAGAGCCATGGGTGGAGATTCTCCAGCCCTTGTGTCTCCTAAAATATCTCAGGGGAGGTGCGACAGTTAATGTGTCAGTTTGGCTGGGCCACACGGTACCCAGATGTTTGGTGAAACATCCCGGGTTTCTGTGGAGGTGTTTTTTGGATGAAATTAGCAGTTAGATGGGTAGACTGAGTGAAGCAGATCGCTCTCCCTGATGCAGGTGGGCCTTATCCAATCAGTCGAAGGCCTGAATGGAACAAAAGGCTGCCCTCCCCAAAGGAAAAGAGGATTCCTCCTGCCTGATAGTCTTCAAACTGGGATATCCACTTTCTCTTGCCTTCAGACTAAAAAGTCTCTTCCTGGGTCTCAAACCTGCTGGACTAGAATAATACCATCAAGCCCTCCAGAGTCTCCAGCTTGCTGACTGCAGATCTTGGGATTTGTTAGCCTCCGTAATCATGTGAGCCTATTGCCTATATCAGATTTCCTTCTATATATGCTTTCTCTTGATTCCGACTCTCTGGGGGATCCTCATATGGGAAGTGTGCTCCCAAACCCTGGAATTGCAAAGCCTTTGACTTTTACAAAGAACCTGGTTAATCTGCAATCATCTTTCTCTGGTTTGTGTGGGTGTGTGTTTCGGTTTCAGTTTTTCCATCAATAGGCTTATTTTTCTGAATGTAGAATAAAATTATGGACCGTTAAAGCTGAGTTGGGAAAGTCTAGGATGGTCTAGTTCCAGCTCTTACAGCTTGAGGATGGCAAAGCCTGGAGAAGGGAGGGGGCTGTACCTAAGCAGGTGACTGTGAGTCCAGCAGCCCCAGGGGAGGTGGGCAGATGTTGGGCAAGCCACTTAGCCTCCCTGGGCCCCACTTCGCACTGTGAAGGCCACGTCCAGAGACCTCCAAAGTCCCTTCCATCTTGTCGCTGTCATGACCATGAAATGTGAGGAGGCAGGTCACCTTACCAGGGCCATTGTCAAGACAACACGCAAATGACGATTAGACCGGGCTGTTCACTTCCAGGTACTCTACAAACGTGACGAGTTCCGTACAGTTCTGGTTGTGCCTAGGGCACGGGAGCAGAGTACTGTGCCAGGGGCCGAGGACACACCAGAGCATGACGTGTCTCTGGGGTCCTCTGGGAAGAGATCACACTAGGCATCTGATGGAGGACATGCCACTAAA